TTCAATCAAATTTTTATATATGAATATGACGCGAGCTTTTAGCAAAATCACTCGATTGAAACAACCTTAAACCCCAAAATGATTATTAACAATATTGAAAAGAAACACCAGAGACTTTGTGAATTGTTCAATACTTAAACTCATTTTTTCAATTACATTTTTTAATGTATTAGTTTATTTATACTATTTTTATATTTAAATTTTATATATTTATTATTTTGAATAACAGTAATATTTTAATAATTATAAATATTTTTTAGATATATATTAATACAATATTTTATATATATATATATATAATAATTAATCACTCGGTCGTGCTCCCCACTAGCTATAACATACTGTATATACGTTTCATAACTATATTTTATTACTATAATTATACACGTATACATATCTTATATAATAATAATATAATATTATTTGGTGAGTATATAAATATGTATTATACGTCTTTATATATTATGCAATAATATTAATATATGTATATAAGAGGAGAGAGAGAGATTTTGAGAGAATCAAAATGGATGATTTTTATTCATATAAACTATACGTGTGTATATATATATATATATAACAGAAGGAATGATTGTGAGGTTAGAAAGTAACTAATAAGGTAGCCACACACATTCTACGCCACACACATTCTACGTCATTACATTGTGTATAGTTTGTATATAACATTTCTCTTTGGATGTCTTTATACAAAGAATATGCTTCGTTAAAACCTTATTATAAAAAAACCCTGTGGGAAAAAATCATAGTAAAGAAAAAACAGTACATCATCATTTTTGTATTAATGCGCTTCCCCTGTTTTGGACTTTATTTGATATCTTTCAGCCGACGCATTCCAATTCCTTGAACCAATTTGTTGAATGTTGCAGTCGGTAGTGCCTTCGTAAATAAATCTACAAAATTTTCAAACGATAGAATTTGTTGCACATTAATTTCACCATTTTTTTTAAGATCGTGAGTAAAAAAGAACTTCGGAGATATGTGATTTGTCCGATCGCCTTTAATATATCATCCTTTTAACTGAGCTATACAAGCCGCATTATCTTCGAATAATATTGTAGGAGGTAATACATCATCAGAAATCAAGCCACAATTTTTCTGAATATGGTGAGTCATAGACCTCAGCCAAACATATTCACGACTGGCTTCGTGAATTGTTAAAATCTCAGCATGGTTTGAAAAAGTAGATTTTATCGTCTGTTTAGAAGATCTCCAAGAGATTGCGGTTCTGCCACAAGTAAATAAATAGCCTGATGACTCCAAATATAAACATATTTTTCGCTTGACAGAACTACGTATTACTTGAATTTCTGTATAAAAACTATCACAATAATTGGTTAATGGCATACTTTATTGATTTATATCGCTTGACATGATCCGGAGGTGGTTTGTTGAGATTATTAACAATTTTTGCCCATTAAAGCGGGGTTTTGGACCCAGAAAAGCTAAGGCAGACGCCACAAGCGACAGTCATCTCCGCTCGCAAGCGGCGATTCCATCGCCCAGAAAAACTAAAGCAAGAGAGGCAAGCGGTAGCTTCCACCGCTCACAAACGGCAGGCTCTACCGCTCCCAAGCGACACCCCAAACACCCACCACTGCAAAGTGACGGCAGCTCAACTCAAATATTGCCCAAGTGTTCTAACTGCAGCGGTATAGCCATTCCACTACCAGTTAGTACAAGCAAGCCCGCTTAACTGCGTTGATGCCCTCTAGTCATCCGGCAAGTGAGGAAGATATGCGCTTTTACAAGTCCACGCAAGCGAAGCGAGCACCCTGGGAATTATGGCCAGCAACTGCTTCAACTAAATAACCGTCATCAACTGCCTAATTGCCTAGCGGTGGAAACCACTTTGCAACTGCTTGTAACCGCTACTTCTACCTGCTATAAATAGGGCCAGATATCTGTATGTAAAAATACTTCCACTGGAGTATACTAGCAATTACTTTTTGTGCATTCTAGTTGTCTTCATGTTTCCAGAGAGCTCTAACCCTGTAAGGGAGTTCTCCACAGGAATGGCCAAGGGAGTGGGGATTCTTCTTCTCCTGCTTGGCCAATACTTTACTGCTTACTTAGTGTAGTTTATCGTTTTCATTACAGTTTTGTAGAATTAGAATTTTCAGCTTTACTAGTAAGTAATGAAATATCATTCAATTCTTCATCTCCACTTCTTTCACACTTTTTCACACTTATATAAATCCTGATTGTAAAAAGTTTCACCTCATTGTTTAGAGCACAGAAAAATTGATTATCTAAGCCTTGTCCTTTGTGACAAACATTTTCAAGGTAGTTCAATGTAGTTAAGTACGTGGGAGCCTTGTCGACCTGCTTAACTACTGGTTTGAATTCAATTTTCATTAAAAAGAGGTAACAGAAGGGTAAAGCCACTAATGAGGCAGAATTTTGGATAATTAATGGGGCATAGGCGGTGGTCTATTAGGTCGCATAAATTCCTAGTGACTGTAGGGTTTCTTTTTTATAATGTTCTAATTCTGGGTGTCATTGAAGTCTTTTTGTAAATCCCTTAAGGTCAAATACCAGTTATAAGAATTCTCTATAATTTGGTTTATATATTTACATCATCTCCTCCTCCCGCTTAAACACCAGCACCGCTCGCTCATCTCATCCAGGAAAACCTAGCCATTAAGTAACGCACATCTCAGACACAACACCTCTCATTCACTCTCTACCGCTTAATCTATACATTGTGCCATTCGCTCATGTCCCGTTCGCTCGCCCATCCTGGCACTCCACCGCTCACCTCCGCTCCGCTCACCTCCGCTCTGCTCGCCTGCGCTCACTTTACCGCTTTTATTTACAACTGTTCATAGAATAAGAATTTTGATCCGCTGTAAAGCGGGTCCCTTTACTGCATTTTCCGCCGCTCTAATAGAATCTGTACTTGATTTAAAATTCGTGACTTAAAATCTCTGTGTTCGATATGGAAACTTACCAATTAAATAGTACAAATAATTATGATAACTACTCAGGGTTTACAACTACAAATTTTTACTATATCTGATCACTTCTTATAATCCACTACATCTCAACCAGCAAGTGAAAATTCCCTGTGAATATCCATAATATACATCTTCATCTTTAAATAAAAAAAAAATTTAGTTATCATAATTTGGCGCCGTTTCCGAGGATTTTAAACTCATGAAAATTATTCTTGTTACAATCCTTTGAAGTGCCATAATTTACCTTTAATTTTTGTAATTTTGTTTTTTTTTTTCACTAACTCTGGTTCTAACTTTTTAATTTGGTGTGGCTATCTTTATGTAGGGGTCCAAAGCGTTTTCAGTATTCCACGAGTCCCACTCTTTCCACTCGCTCACAGAGAAGTCTGTTCAGAGAGTTAACCAGAGAAAGAATCATGGCAAACCAAGGAAATGCTACCGCTCCCTCTACTGTCATCCCAGCTTTCCAGATTGCCGCTAGGACTTCCTCGAATTCGGCCACATCAACATCGTCGCAGGAGGTGCCGCTCCATATCATTACTGTAGTCCCGACTACTGTTCCCCACACGCTGACACCAACCGATGAACAACTCATGAGAGCGCTCGGCAGCATTCAATAGGAAATGGCTGGACTACAAGCGCATCTCGCTCAGGTGGAGAAAACTCAAGCTGCGCAAGGAGCATTCATCGCTTCCCAAGCGGCTCAAGCTGCCAACGCCGCTGCGACACCCGCCGTCATCACTCCCCCACCTACTGTTGAGCCTAACCAGAGGCCTGAGCGACAAAGGGCTGTTGATCGCCCGCTTGCTGAAGTCCCCATGGACGTTCACTATCAGTCCCTCATGGATAGTACACTTATTACAAGTTTTGCGCCCAGAGGCTCTGGCCATTATGAGGTGAAGCCAGCACTTGTTAGCCTGGAGAGCCAGAGTCAATTCCATGGGCTGCTCAACGAGAGCCCATACTAGCATCTTCAGAACTTCAACAGGATTGTTGCCGCCTCCAAACACATGGCATCACGGAGGATGCTGCAGAGTTAATATTGTTTCCTTTTTCTTTAACAGGAGAAACCAGGAAATGGTTCGATAGCCTCTATCCCATTCCTGCCACTTTCAAGGAAGCAGTGCAGGCCTTTGTGAGTAAATATCATCTTGTGTCAAAAACCATTCTTCAAAGGAATAAAATACTGAGTTTCAAGATGGGGAGTAAAGAGATCCTTCCTAAATCCTGGAGCCGCTACAAACAATTGCTCCGCAACTGCCCGCATCATGAGATTTCGGACTTCATGGAGCTGTAGATTTTCTACTCAGGAATCAACCCTAGACTGAGGATGTCCTTAGATGCAACGGTAGGAAGCTCGCTGATGGGGCGCTGTGCTTCAGAAGCGAGGGCTTTAATCGAAAGAATGAAGGCCAATCAAACTAGTTGGCTAGAGACCAACAGGCAGGAGCCATCAAGGGGTCTATACCAGATCCCTACTTCAGTGTCACACGATGCACGGATTGACAGTTTGTCTTTCCAAGTTAAAGAGCTGTCTAAGCTCGTGAAGCATGACCTGCGTAGTAAAGGAAAGTAGGTAATAAATGAGGCCACGGTCACTGAGGAGTGCGCCTATACAGACCAAGAAAGCCTGCAGGTTGCTGAGTGCTCATCTGAGCAGACTCAGAACCCAACGGAGGTCTTTTATATGGCTGGCAGAAATGCCCCTCAATTCCAGCAGTACCAAAAAGGGCATGAACAAGCCCCCGTTGGACCGCGTCCTCAGCAACAATTCCAACAGCCGCAACACTTCGCTGCGCAACAATATCATCAAGGGGGATTCTATCTACATCAACAACAGTACTTTCAAACCCCCAACTTTTGCAGCAAGCACTTGTTTTTGCCCAACCTCCCACAGCGGCTCAAGTGCCGCTGAGTCTAGAGGAGCTCTGGAGGAACACCGAGCGCGCAAATCAGGAGTTCCAACAAAATACGTCCGCCTCGATCAAAATGCTGTAAATCCAAGTTGGACAGATAGCTGAAGCTATGAAGCTGAAGGAGAAAGGAACGCTGCCTGGGACAGTCGAGACTGTCCCGAACCAAGCAAAGGTCATAGAAACAAGGGGTGGAAAGCGGATGCAATCGCCACCACAACCAGATAGAGGTACTAATCCTTCTTCTACCTCTATCGTTGCTAACTTGCCTGTACAGGATGGAGTGATACAGATTCCAACTGAGGAAGAAGGTCCATCCAAGCCACAAGCGATACCAGCCGCTCGGGTGCCTGAACCGAAGGAAAAGGGTCCCGCTCAGCCTTTGGCTAGGGCTCCATTTCCCACCAGACTTGGGAAGAAGGACAATTCCAAGGAATATGATAAGTTTGTGCATACTTTCCGTAGTCTTAAAGTTACTATACCATTTGCTGATGCTTTGTCACATATGCCACATTACGCTAAGTTCATAAAAGACATCATCAATCTAAAGCAGGCATTCCCTGACGAAGCGGCAGCGGTGCAGCTGGAAAGTGTGTGCAGTGCCGTATTTAAGGAGGACCTCCCAAAGAAATTAAGCGATCCTGGGAGTTTTATCATTATTTTTTCTATAGGCAATTTAGAGCCGATTAGGGCATTATGTGATCTAGGAGCAAACATCAATCTTATGCCATTTTTGCTTTTCTCTAAATTAGGGCTTTATGAATTAGAAGCATGTAGAACTGTAATTCAACTTGCTGATAAATCAATAAGACTTCCAAAAGGAATTATTCATGATGTACTAGGTCAAGAGAACAAATTTATTTTCTCTGTAGATTTTATAATAATGGAAATGAGCGAAGATCGCTAAATTCCAATCATACTGGGGAGACCTTTCCTAGCCACCGCTCAAGCAACTATAAACGTCGCCCAAGGCAAAATAACATTGAGCTTAGGTGGAGATAAAGTCACATTTTCCATGAACAAAGCACTGCGCCAACCTCAAGAAGAAAATTGTGATTTTATCGATGAGTTAAATGAATTATCAACTTTTGAGAACTGTATGACAATTGAAACTCTGGAAGGAACTTCAGATGATGGATCGCTTGAGCTGGAAGCTGTTGTGGACTCTAGTGGGGCAGTGAAAGATTAGCTCCCACTGAGTCTATTGAGGAACCTAAGAGAGAACCAGCGAGCGATGCCCGTATCAAGGACGAGTTGAAGAAGTTACCTGAGCACCTCAAATATATATACCTTGGCCCGGAGGAGACTTACCCGCTGATAATCTCCGCCTCACTACTGCAGGACCAAGAAGCTCAGCTCGTCTCGCTTCTCAAAAGAAGAAAAATGGCATTTGCATGGAAGATTACCAGCGGAGTGTATGCACCATATTAGGCTGGATGCTGATGCAAAGCCATGCAGACAGCCTCACGACAGTTAAATGAGAATATGCAAGAGGTATTAAAGGAGGTAATCCAATTATTCGATGCAAGAATCATTTACCCTATCAGTGACAGCCAGTGGGTCAGCCCAACCCAGGTGGTTCCTAAGAAATGAGGCTTTGTGGAGCAGACAAGCGACGAGGGGGAGGTTTTTATGATAAGACCTGTCACTGGATGGAGAGTATGCATCGATTACAGAAGGTTGAATGCTGCAACAAAGAAGGATCATTTCCCGCTTCCACTCCTTGATCAATGCCTGGAGAAGCTCGCAGGACACGAATACTACTGTTTCCTCGATGGCTACTCAGGCTACCATCAGATTCCCATCAAGCCGGAGGACTGTGAGAAGACCACATTTACATGTCTATATGGTACGTTTGCTTATAGGAGGATGCCGTTTGGGCTTTGCAATGCTCCGGCCACCTTCCAGCAATGCATGTACCATATATTTAGTGATCTCCTGGACTCATGCATAGAAGTGTTTATGAATGACTTCTCGGTTTATGGCAAGACATTTTCCAGATGCTTGAATAACCTGAAAAAATACTTCTACGCTACATTGAGACTGATCTCGTGCTGAACTGGGAGAAGTGTCATTTAATGGTGAATGAAGAGATTGTCTTAGGTCATAAGATCTCAGCTACCGAGATAGAGGTAGACCAATAAAAAATTAGTGTGATTGAAAAGATGCCAGCGCCCTCGAATGAGAAGGGAGTACGAAGTTTCCTTGGACATGCGGGGTTTTACTGTCGCTTTATCAAGGGCTTCAGTCAAATTACGCAACCGCTCACTGCACTGTTGTGCAAGGATTCTCACTTTGATTGGTCAAGAGAGTGTGAGGAGGCTTTCCTCATTCTAAAGGAAAAGCTAACCACCGCTTCTATTATTTCTGCACTAGTGTGGAGCGAGCCATTCGAGTTGATGACGGATGGAAGTAACTATGCCGTCGGCGCTGTATTAGGACAAAGAGTGGAATCCAAACTGAATGTTATTTACTAGGCAATTAAATCATTGGATTCTACTAAGAAGAATTACACTATAACCGAGAAGGAGCTGCTAGCTATTGTCTTCGCTTTCGAGAAATTCAGGCAATATCTCATCGGAAGCAAGACCATTGTTCATACAGATCATGCAGCAGCGATCAGATATTTGATGGAGAAGAATAAGACAAAGGCCCGCTTGATCAGATGGGTGCTGTTGCTCCAAGAATTTGATATAGAGATCAAGGATAAAAAGGGAAAGGAAAATCATGTGGCAGATCACCTTAGCAGATTAAGGCAGGCAGAGGACATATCTCCTGAAATTAATGAATTATTCTCAGATGAGAAGTTGTTCCCGGTTCAAGCAAATGAGTCATGGTTTGCTGACCTGGCAAACTTCCTGACCACGGGGCAGTTTCATGCGCATACAGTACAAAGGGAAAAGAAGAAATTGCTCAGTTTGGCAAATGACTATTTTTGGGATGAACCCTATTTATTTAACATCGGCTCAAATGGGATAATCCACGCTGTGTAGCGGAATCTGAGATCCCGCTCATCTTGAACGAATGTCATGGGTCCCATATAGGAAGGCATTTCGCTGGCCTAAGCACGCGACCAAAGTTTTGCAGTCAGGCTTCTTTTGGCCTACCCTACAAAAAGATGCTAATGCCTTTGCCAAATCCTGCGACAAGTGTCAAAGGTTGGGCTCTATCTCAAAGCGGGATGAGATGCCCCAAATTGGAGTCTTGTTTGTCGATATTTTCGATGTATGGGGGATAGATTTTATGGGCCCCTTTCCAAACTCAAATGGAAAATTATACATTCTGGTGGCAATGGATTACTTAAGCAAGTGGGTCGAAGCGCAAGCGCTCCCAACTAATGATGCTCGATCCGTGATCCGTTTCCTAAAATATACCATATTCCCAAGGTTCGGGGTCCCAAGAACTATAATAAGTGATGAAGGCACCTATTTTGTGAACAAGGTGCTGTAAACTTGCCTTCAACAATATGGTGTTCGTCAACATCTTACTACCCCCTATCACCCACAAGCAAGCGGTCAGGTGGAAGTTTCAAATACAATGATCAAACACATCCTTCAGACCACAGTAAATAAAAGTCGTAAGAATTGGACAGAAAAATTGGATGATGCGTTGTGGACATATAGAACAGCCTTCAAAACTCCAATAAGAATGTCCCCATATAGGCTCGTGTATGGAAAAGCCTACCACTTACCTATGGAACTCGAGCATCGCGCGTATTGGGCTATTAAGTATTTAAACTTTGATCTTCTCCCCGCACAAGAGAAGCACGCCAAACGATTGCTCGACCTAACTGAGTTCCGATACCTTGCATATGAAAGCGCAAAAATTTATAAGGAGAGGATAAAATTCTATCACGACAGGAAGTTGAAGAAGAAAGAATTCACTGTGGGATCCAAGGTTCTGTTATATGATACTAGGCTTCACTTATTTCCAGGGAAATTGAGATCACGGTGGACTGGGCCGTATATCGTCAGACAAGTTCTGCCAAGTGGAGCCATAAGAATTGACAATGTGGACAACCCCAGAGAAAATGATTCATTCCTTGTCAATGGAGTGAGACTAAAAACCTATATTAAAGGGCCTGTGTTGCAGCGGGCCAACGCAGATATCAATCTGGTGGAGGTCCAGAAACTCGCCCAATGATGGAATTATAAAGGATATCCAGAATGCCCTATCTTAAAAACGTTGAATTTATAGTTTTTCTTTACCGTTTTCATAGTTAGAATTTATAGTTTTCTTTACAGCTTTCATAGTTAGAATTTACGGTTTTCTTTATCGCTTTCGTAGTTAGAATTTACAGCTTTAGTTATTGTTTTCCATAGAATTGTTGTTATTGCTTTAATAGTTAGGGTTATTGCTTTTTAGAAGTAGTTTAACGCTTCGCTTCTTTAAGTAAAATAGTTAGAATTTTAACTTCTAACCTAAGGCAGACCCATGCCAATCATCACTTCGCTTGTCTCATTCTAAAACATACTAGAAGAGCAATATCACTCACCCAGTACCGCTTCCATCCCCGCTTGTGTGTCATACATAGGTTTCTAGAAGTATTGCTTTACCCGCTCGCCCGCCCTTAAATCCCACCCTTATACCCTTATATTACTAATAAGTGGACCAGTTACCGTTCCGCTCACCCCTCCTCATAAGCGCCATTGTCTCTACAAATACCCCAATTCACAACTATTTTCCACTTTTACCCTTACAGTAACTTCCTCAAGAAGCTTCAGTAACCGCCATTTCTCCGCGCATAGAAATTCAAAAATCTTGATTCTTCAGCCAAAATTAGCTCAATCTAATCTAGGCTCACCTTAGTCAATAACTTCGATTTCATGGTTGATTTTCTTTTATTTGACGCACAATAACGCAGAATCAAAAATTCTTTTTGCAAAAATTGTCTCTTCTTCAACTTTGCGAAACTTTGTATGTCATTGATTTATATGAATCTAAGTCTGTTATCCGCTAGATTTAGACATAATAACTTATATACTTTCTTTGTATGGATCAATTTTTTAATAATTTGTTTGTTGGATCTATTCTGTGATTTTTTCCCTTTTTTCGCAACAAAACACTTACTGTAGTATTTTGTTTCGTTGTGAGGGGGAGGAGTTAGGGTTCAAATCACTGAAATTTTGGATATGATTGCATGTATATGAATATTGTTAGCATTTTAGAACTAATAAGGCATGAGTCATAAATTTCTCAAATTAAACAATAAATCTGGAAAAAAACCCTAGGTTCAAAACAAGCTAACAAGATAGATCCAAGCAAGCGAGAAGCGTCGCGCAGGAAATTCGAGAAGATTGAGGAGAAAATCGAAAAGAGGATTCAAAGAATCAAATCCACAGATGGGTGGAAAGTAGTAACCACAACCTCGGGGGCTGAATTTGTGGAACCAGCGCCGCCAGAGGCTCATTACAGAAGGAGGAGGTTACTAGAGTTGATAGAGGAATGGGGGAAGCTCAGAGAACTTAAGTCCATCCCATTCAGAAAGTTCATCCCAAAGTTTACGGAGGATTACCTTAGATTTGAATATACTGAGGAAATAGAGCAAAGGTATCCGGTGAGCGACTGGTGGTTAGACTACGAGGAGCTATGGGACTTTCAGTTGAAGGAGTTGAAGGAAGAATTTTCCCACCAAGACATTGGGGAAAGGATGAAAGCGTTTAGGAGCAATAAGATCTCGAAGAAGAACACTGCCGATGCTGCCAAGAACGTGTTGAAGTCTAAACTGTACATTTTATTAACATTGAGGCAGTAGCGGCGTATGAGAAGGCGAAGGCAATGGAGATCCTCTATGATAAAGGATTTGACCCCGAGAAGATCTCAGGCCCGTTCGCCGATTGGCTGAGGGAGCGGGGCCTGACCTGGTTGATCAAAAACCCCAGTAACCTAGTGGATGTATCACTGGTGAGGGAATTCTATACGAATTTGAGCTAAGTTGACAGTCTACGAAACGTATATATTAGAGGGAGATGGGTAGACTGTTCAGCTCGAAAGATTTACTGGGTCCTGGGCTGGAAACACCACTATCCCAGCCAGGAGATGGAGAGTAGGTTGCAGGCAATGGAGACCTGCAGCTCGCTTGAGCTGTACACACTGTATAGGACCTTCACCACCACCCCCGAATATGATAAGAGAAACCTGAAATTTGGGTTGGTGGACGAAGAGAAAAAGGAATGGGTCAAGTGGTCGTTGAGCCGAATAACGATTACCACTCACACCACAGACATCCGTTCTGACTTTCTCCTTGCCTTGCGCTTGATTTTGGAGGAGACAAATGATGTTGATTTGGGCGCGATTATCGGCATAGATATCTGGGCGCGAAGAAAAGTAGAAAGAATGCTAGGTCACGGGACCCTAATTACGGAACTATGCTGACACGCGGGCGTCGATCTACCCACTCTAGCCCCAGAACTTTAGATGAGGCCGCTGCTCCCAGCGGTCTTCCACAAGGCATGGCTAGAGTCCAAGGGGTTCACCCTCATCCCCAGACAGAAAAAGAGGAAGGCACAAGCGGTTGTACCTCCCCCTTCTCCAAAAAGGAAAATGAAAGTTATGGGGGAGGAAATAATAAGGGAAGAAGTGGCACCCCAAACTGATCCGGAAGAGGCCTTTGCAGGACCCGACTCTGAACGAACCATCTCCAATGAAACTCCCGCTGACGAGAATGAGGAATCCCTCCGCTTCGCTCGGGAGATAGAGGAGGATCTATTCGGGGGAGATCAGGCCAGGAGAGATAAGGGAGGAAAAGCCTCGGACGCTGCTGGTGAAAAGAGGTCCAAGCGGAAGGAAGACCCTGCTCCGGAGCTTGTCAAGAAGTCGAGGATAAATGAGGCACTAAGAAAAAATCCAACACCCCCTCGGCGAGCGGCAAGGTAGGAGAAGGAGAAGGGTAAAACGGTGGAAGAAGAAGCACATGAGGACATGATCCCGCTTTCCAGACTCAGGAAGGGGATCACAATTAGAGAACCCACCGCTCAACCCAAACGACCTTCACCAGCAAGGCCAACAACAGAGGGGGTGCCACCCGAGCTGCTGAGTCCACCTGACAGTGAACTTGTCCCCTTCAACCAGCAAGGGGCAGGTGAGCCAGCTGCTGCTGGACCAGGCAATGAAACTGCACCCGTTAACCAGTCGGGAGCGGTGGAGCCTACTGCTGCTGGACCGGAGGAGGAGCGGGAGACTGTTATAACCGAAGAAACCATCGGCAGGATTGATGTCACAGTGGAATCCTACAAAGAATATCCCGCGGAGGTCTCCGCTGCCACAACCGCTGAAGCTGCCAATAAAACCGAAAAGGGTCGAGGCAGTCGTAACAAATCTTCCCATTCTGCATGTGTCTCTGCACAGCCCCAAAACACCAATAGTAACTGGAACACCTGCAGACACTCTGACTCCTGTCTCAGACAAATCCGACAACAATCTTCGATGATGAGGAGGATGAAGAGGAAAGAAGATTTTGGGAGGAACAAGCTCAACTGCTCGCCGTAATGCAACAATTAGAACAGAAGCGACAGCGTGAGCGACAAAAGAAAAGGAAAATGAAGGTGCTGGCCAAGTTGCTGAAATACTGGAAGCCGCTCACCCAACTCCAATTTTTGATTCAAGAAGTACTTGGAGCGGAATAAAGCAAAATAACTGGAGTTTGAGGCATCGAGGCAACTTGTGTGGCTGAGGGACGTTACTCCCGAGCCAGCACCTGATTCCTTAAGGAAAGATGAGCCAGTGGACATCAGTTCGGTTGAGTCTGAGGGACAGTCACAATCACCCACGGAGGCAAGCACATCAGTCTCCTCCGCTACTTTTGACACTTTCGAAAAATGACTGGATGAACTCGATGAAGCCATACTCAGCCAATACCTAATGACCCAAACATTGATCGACATGCATGCAAGGAATTTGGCTGAGGGATTGGCCACTGGCAGGAAGGCAAGCGCCGCACTAGAAGCGCGTGTGGAGGCGCTGGAGACTCAAGCTGCAAGCCTAGGTGCATCTCAAATAGAGATTCTGAAGGCACTATCGGCCATCACCTAGCATAACGCGATCCTCATGGAACAACAACTTGACACAGCTTAGAGTCTCCAAAGAATGGAAGAACTAGTGTGGCAGCTGACAAAGAATTTTCCCCCGGGACGAGGACCCACATGTGAGGAAAGAAAATAGAAGAGGGTCCTCTCCCGTGTACATAATTTCTGAAAATGGCAAGGGCTGTACAAAAAACAAATGATCAACGATACAACAATTTTCGGTAACAAGTGAAATTTATCTTTATTGTATGCCTACCATAATCTGAAGTATGTTTTTTTATTTGAGATACTTTTAATACCCTGTTGCGTTAGCTTTGTGATATGTTTTAAAGTCAAGTTAGATAACTTACAAACACCAGACTGAGTAATTGTCCTTCGAACCTTTTCAATAGGGCGAACATTGATGTTAAACTAAGTAACAGAGGATAGGACTTATGAGGATTAGTGCCCCCTTCATTTCAATTTTCCCATACTCAGTAGGGCATACAAACTTCTGCCTATCGACTTTGTTCACAAGAAATGACTTGAAAAGAGAAATCCTTAAATATGGTTTAAGACACGATGTAAGCAAAGCAGGAATGACCTATCATTACAAAGGAGTTGAAAAGGCCTAGGTGCGCGAAAATAAAATAAGATCATGAGCAGACACAATGTTTGTTTGAAACTCTTGATCCAAAAAAGAAAAATGATTCTCCGCACCCTTCGGCCGAAGGCTTCCTTAATCAAAAAATAATCTCTGCTAAGCGAACAAAGTAGACGATGCCGGGATAACTCCATTCATGTTAAATCAAATGACAAGTTTGAATACTTAAAGATCAATTGTCTCTATCCGAGATTCACCTTACTCCCAATTATGACACTGATCTTAAGCAATACTTGACTGCAGTGAACATAATGACTCTTTGATCTCATAATTTAGTTTGTTCGAGGATGAATAAAGATTTAGTGTGAGAAGGTTTGATGACTCCAAATATAAGCATATTCTTCGCTTGACAAAACTACGTATTACTTGAATTTCTTTATAAAAACTATCACAATAATTGGTTAATGGCATACTTTATCGATCTATATCGCTTGGTAAGATCCAGAGTTGGTTTGTTAAGATTATTAATAATTTTA